TCTCTCTCTCTCTCTCTCTTTTCTGCTCTTCTTCTTAAACAAACCACAAGCGGATGTGAGAGAGAGAAGGTGTTTCTTTTACTCCTGAGCCCAGACACCTCTCTCTGTTCCGTCTAAGCTTGTTTTGCTGCATACTTTTTTTTAAAAGAAAAAAAATAAGGGACTAGAAAAGGACTTGCTTGATGTGAGAGTGAAATGGACGTAAGATTTTATCCACCTCCAGCCCAGCCCGCCGCTGCGCCCGACGCTCCCTGTCTGGGACCTTCTCCCTGCCTGGACCCGTACTATTGCAACAAGGTGAACGCTCTGCTTTTGTTTCCACCGTGTTCTCGCTGCGTGGTCCCGGGAGGGGGGCGGCGGCGCGGGGTGGCTTGGCAGACCCGGCCGGCTCGGTGGAGGCCGGTCCCGGGCGCTGGGCTCGCAGCCCGCTGTACCCCGGCGTGCGCTAGGGTGGTAGGTATTGTGGAGCAGCTCCGGGGGCTTGCCATGTACCGCGATTGTGCGGAAAGTGACACGATTTGCTCGGATTCTTTCCTTCCTGCTGCTCGAGACTAAGGATCTCTGCCTAGGTTTGTCGGGGGACGTTAAAAAAAAATAAGAGGAAACCCCAAGAAATACTTTGGGGGTGTGTCTGGGGTTCGGGACGGAAGCAAAGAGAATTGAGCTTATTTCCCAGTTCCTTCTTCTCCGTCCCTCCCTTTCTTGGGCAGCTGGGGCTCGTGGCACCCTTTCCCTGCCCGGGAGTTGGGGTACAGGGACCCCGGAATGCGCCCCCCCCCACCCCTTGAAAATTGTTCCACAACTCTTGGTTTCCCAAGCCGCTTCGGGCAGTCGAGTCCCAACTGCAGGCCAGGGCGCAGAGAGGTAGCTGGAATCATGATTTGGGGGACAGCTCCCGGGGGGGGGGGGTACGCGTGGAAATTGCAAGTTTGTTGGAAGCCCGATGAGTGCGTTGTGTTCAAGTCCAAAGCTCCTGCACTCAAGCCCCGGTTCAAGTTGGGTCCCTGGGTGGGCTCTACTCCCGGCCCGGCGACCCCTGTGACAAGGCGTTGGCGACCAGGGCAAGGCTGGTAACTCGGAGAAGGGGCACCGGACTGGGGGGTGCTTCGGAGATTGATAGGTCAGGAGAACTTAGGAAAGGGTTGCTCTCCCGGCTTCTGGAACGCTCAGAAGTAGAACTAGCAGGGATCTGGTCCCCGAGAACAGAACAGGGCACCGCTGTCCTGCTCCGGGCTTGTTGGACGCGTCTAGCAATCCCGCCCGAAGAAGGTTGGCTGGGAGAATTCAGTTCTCCGAAATGCGGGGGGGCTTTTTAGACGCCCAGCCTTAGGTTGGTGATAAACCTGCCCGATTCTCACAACCCCCGCTGGCACTAGCACGTCGACCCCTTGGTGAATTCCACGGGAAACATCCTTGGGACTCCCATTTGCTTGGTGAGGAGTCATCACCAAACAGCTTTTTAATGTGTTACAGAGCTGTTTAGCGGGCTGCCTTCTCAGCTCCAAGTCTCTCCACCACGCAAATGACTTGCAGTTCCGAGTCTTGGTCAATTGGGACACACACACACACACACACACACACACGCAGTTGTGAGTTGAAGTGACCTGCAGACATCATTTCGTGGAGAAGCTCCTTGGTGCCGTGCACAGTGTAAACCTCACTCCAAGGGCTGTGCTGTGCCCCCTTGATGTTCAGGCAAGTTGGAAAAGAGGGAAGTCTGTCTTGGGCAAAGCAGAGAGGCTCTTACACTGGGAACCCTTAGCTAGGGGCAAGTTGAAAGGTATTGGGAACTTTGGCAAAAGTAGAGAAGTTTGTGTGATGAACTTTCATTGCTCGGTATTAGCAGTTCTTTTAGTCTAAAATCCGTTTTGCCTTTAAATACAAGTATTGTGTTTGTTGCCTTTTTATTTTGCTTATAAGAAGAACTCTACTAATAAAAAATAATAAAGTGGCAGCTCGCTCTTGGTGATAAAGACCTAGTCCACAATAGTTACTTCAACCAAAAGGTCAGAACTATTTTGGCAATGAAACTGGACAAATATTACATTTATCAGTGATTTTAGGCTTCAAAAAGAAGGTAATGACTTGGATACACATTTCACTCACCATTCTTGCCATAGAAGGGTCAGATTTAATTTATAAGTTAAATGCTTTAGAAAAATCAGGAATTACTTCAGTATATTAAATCATTTTCCAATTAAGTGCTTTAAATAATTTTAGTGGGTTATGCTGTGAATTGAATAAATTAATTTTGAAAGTCTTCAGTATTTCTTTACCAGCTCATTGAAGTTCCTTTTAAGTCACCCTGTGTATAAGAAGCAAACTGTTCTTTTTAAATGCAAATTAACCACCCTTTCTATAGACTAGTTGCAAGTCTTCTATGTAACTTACCCAGGAAATAATGGATTTTTTAAAAAGCAAAGTCATAGGACATGTTTCTAATAGCAGGAAAAGACTTCATGGAAATTTTTCTCCAGGGACGCCTGCTCCTGCCCATCCTGTGTAGCAGTCCCTCAAATATATTTGTCACTGATCCCTGATTATATTAAATGTACTGAGTAGGTTTCAAGGCCCCACAAAGCTCAGGCACTTGAGCTTTCTACTCTGTCGTGATTAGCATCGGTTTATAATTTCTGTCCAGCTCCACTATTTGAGTTGTTTAGAATTTATTAAAGTAGCATTCATTTTTGTGATTACTGAAGTGGATTTGCAGAAATATGGAAAAAAGTTTGGAAGAGGTAAAGAAAGAAATCTGTATCTACATTTATTAAAGAGCAAGTTGGATCAGACTTCCCACTAGAGACAGGACTCCAAAGTAAACATTGTCTTCTTCCAAGGTGTAAGGAATATGTAGTTTATTACAAATAACAGTCACTTTATCAGGTTATTTGTTTTAATAGGGTCATACAATCATAAATTACTAATTATCCTTATTTTAAACCTGTCAACAGTTCACTATTTAAAGTTGCTGTCCTAAATCCCAGAGGAACCAGTGTCTTTCTGAGCTTTAGTGTCATGCAACTGTAACTGCAGCTTCCTCAGTGACGTTTTTTCAATGTCAGTAGGAACCCTAATGGAGAAAATGAATATCCTCTTCCTGAAGCTTTCCTAAACTAAAATGTGATTGTTTTACTACTCTGACACTTTCCAGTGCTGCTGCTCTATAGGTTGCCAAATCACCACTTACATTTTGCAGTTAATAAACTCTCTAGCAGGCAGTTTTGGGAACAGTTTAATTCAGTGCTGTATTGTAAAGCCACATTACGTTGTGAACACACCACTATGCAAACTGGCTTTCATTTTCATGTAGCCCGTTATGATAACACTGCAAGTGATGGTGGCTATGGCAAGTGTGTTAGTTACGCAAATAGCTGGAACCGTTGGCATGATGCTGTATATAGGTCAGTCTTTGAACAGCAGTGTGGCTCAAAGACTGGCCAGACACGTAGGCTGGAGGGAACACTATTCACTTCTTGCAACTTGAAAGCATAGTTATATCACAGACATTGAAAGATGGGTAGCAAAGCAGAGTTACATCTAATTAGGCTATTTTAAGTAACATTGTATCCCTTAATTGAACTGAAAGCTACCAAAAGAAATTGGATTAAATGAGCTCACAATTGGAGTTCGGTAATAAAATATAGTCCTATTTTTTTTTCCAGTTGAAGATGTCAAATCCCCAGTTTAATATATACCTACAGAGTAATAGCAGCTGCTTTCAGTTTCTTAGTGCAGTGTCAATTCTAAAGATTGTTTTCACTGATTTTATGCTAAAATAGGATAAAATGTGGCACTTTTTCATTTTTACAATGATGTGATGTGTGCAGTTATTGCTTAATAGCTGCCCACATAAGGAGTAGTAATACAATTATGTTATGCCATGGCTAATGACAGGGAGCTGACCTTGGCCAGCAGTGGGAGGGGAAATAATGGGCTTTACTGTTCTCAGTGGTTGCTTTTGTGGAATTATGTTTGAATCTTTCTTTGGGGGATTTAGAAACAAGGAAGTCCAAAACACAAGCCCATGCTTAATACCAGTTCTATATAAAGTCAAGAATATTGGGCATTTGGAATACTGGGCTTTTCTGTTGTGGTGAGAATGGACAGTGTATATTCTTTGCTTGTAAATGCAGGAGGAAGGACCCATCTGTGATGAACTGAGCTTGAAAATATCAGGGCAAACATTAGACATGTGATAACTTTTGAGAAAAATAAGATTGATTGTAGCCTGCAAAATTTTTGATCTTATTTTCCTATTTATAGTGTATTATGTATTGTACTTCAAAATGGCAAAACTTATGTATAAAATATAGGATTTGCAAGCATATTAAGAAGGATTCATTATTCCTATTTTGGTTAATAAATGTAAGAAAAAGGAGGAGGATAAGAGGGGGAAGAGGGCAGGAGGAAGGGGAAGGTTATAATAAATTTAGAGCATTATGCTTGGTTAGTTCTCTGTCCAACTCCATAACTTCTAGGACTTTGGGAAACTCATAGTTGATACTTCATACTTCATTTGTACAATTACAGTTCCCTTAGGAATTGTATTAGCTGGCATCTGGCACAAGTTTTGAGGTATTTAAATGTTTTAAATGAAATAATAGGCAAGAAAGAACATAAACCAAGAAATCATATGGTTTGGCCCTAAGTCAAATATTATACAAAAACCTCAAATGTATCTATGTTAATTCAAAAACCTCAAATATGGATAATTCAGTATCACAAATTTTAGTTATAAATGTCTATGCAAAAATGTATAGTTATGAGCTTTGAAGAGATCTGATGTTATTTTTAATTTAGCATATGTGATTTAGTGTTCTCATATATTTTTACCATATATTCTTTTACCATATATTCTAAATGATATTAAGTAATAATATTAAGGGAAATTTTGATATTTTACACAGAAAAACTAAGATAATATTTACATGCCTAATTGAAGGCATAGTGTAGTTTTTCTTTTAATGATGTGATTGCACAGGGATTAAGAACAGAGAAATATGGAAATTCCCAAGTGTAACAGGGACTTCACGGGTACCAAACAGGTTTGTAGTGCTGGTTTTGATGTATAGGCTATGACTAGTGGTAATGCTGTGTGTGTGTGTGTGTGTGTGTGTGTGTGCACGTCTGCATATCTGTGCATATGTGTATATATGTGGTGGGCTCACTTCAAGGAGCGAGAGCCTGGAAAGCTAGGGTGGTGAGATCTTTAGCTGTGAAGAATGATTTACTCTGACCCTCCAAACCCTTTGCTAGGACACTGGAAAGTTGAAAAGATCTTGAGTACATTTTCACAT